GGGATCGAAGCCGTTCAAAAATAATGGGCAATACATTGGCTGGCTCACAGTCACAGTGGGGTCCGGAAGGCAGCATGTAGAGAACGGTAACAGTTAGAATACCGTCACAAGCGGTTGTATGACTGTGATATCTCCTCTCTAGTCTGGCTACCTGCTTCACTTTTTTTACTTAGCATACACCACTGAGCGCATCCCGCCGCTGCTTCCTTATACAGTCGTCCCTCTCTAATCCGGCACCTTTTGCAACGGCATTTTCTGCTGGATAAACAAGGGTGCTGGATTATAAAATCCTGCCCTCCAACCCGGCCCACCAATTAACGTACATGTTTGTGTCGTACGTCAAAACGTAGGGATTTTCTGTGTCAATCCAAGTACTGTAATTTCACAAATTTTCGGTGTACTTTTATCTTCGGCACTTTCGGTGTGTCTGTTTCATACCTAAAATTTCAATACACCGAACAAACTCTAACGCACATAATCCAATAGGGAACTGCTTCTCTGTACCGAAAATTTCTGGTCATCTTACCTGGCCTGTTGCCCTCATACCGAAAATATTGAGCACCGAAAATTTCTGAAATTAGAGTACTTCGTGGAATGCATATCTATAACATACACTTGGGAATACGAGTGCATAGGATATTCCCAAGTGTATGTTACATGTGTTGTGTATGTTACAATGCTCCCTGACGGTATGCGATGTACAACTGCTGGATTAGAAAATCGAATTGTGTACAGTTTGAGTGATTTGTTCCAGAAAATCGCTGCTGGAGGCGGAATTCAAGTGCCGGATTAAAGCGTAGAAAATGAACTGAAAAATCCGCTTTGCCAGAAAGTGTGCTGGTTTGCAAGGGTGCTGGATAAACAAGTGCCGGATTAGAGAGGGACGACTGTATTGTTATAATAATTATTACTCAAGTCTGTGGACAGCAACTGTTTCGCTCTGTTAAGAGCTCATCAGCACAGCTCAGAGGACCGAAGCGCAGCTCTTCGCAATGAAATACGTTTCCGTGAAGCAAAGCATTTATAAAGAGCTGCAAACCCCGCCAAGAGTGCTCGAAATGCTCCAAGACGGCAAGAGCAGTGAGCGTTGCACAAGGCGAGCGGCAAGGGTTCGGGCTAAGGTAAGAGTGCTCAACCTAACGACATTGCTGACGCTAGGGAGCATAATTTTTTTTTTTTAATTTCGGCCAGTCGGCTAACATCATTTCGTCTTGGGGGTTAGACAAGGGGAAGTAGCCATGTAGGGGCGTTAGCCCGCCTTTCGGCACCGGGAGTTGCAGCTCGCTCGACTTGACTCTACTGAGTGCAGAGGACCCACACCTTGATCTGGTGAGCTGCGTCGTGGGGATTTTGCAGTCAGATGTGCGGGGCCTGCTGGCGTGGTGACCAGGTTGTACGAGCAGCTGTGCAGTCTTCTTCCGTGACCCTAGTTGGAGACTTTAATGTAAATATGGACCCAGCCCATCCGGCACCCCAGCACAAACACCTCACCGACCTCTGTGCTGCGTTTGGCCTCCAGAACATCGTCATGCAGCCGACCCGTGAAACTCCACAGTGCCCTGAAGGCACGATGATCGATCTCATATTGACCAACCCGGCGCTAGTGTCCCTAGCAACGGTTGTGCCCACTGATATTAGTGACCACAGCGCTGTGGAAGCCATTATTCAGCTTGCCGTTGACGTTCCACCCGCGTCATCCACGACGTCGCGGCTGACCAGGAATATACGTGGCGTTGACATTAACTCTTTTCGGCAAGATATCCTTGAGGCTTCTCTACATGATTTTTCGGATCACAATGATGTAAATCACATGTGGAAAGAGTGGCACACTAAGTTCCTGTACGTTTTGGACAAGCATGCCCCGCTGCACAACTCTAAGCCTTCCCGGAGGGCGATACCTCCCTGGTCTGACAGAGAGCTGCACCAGCTCGAACAGTGTAAACGGCGGCTGCACAGCCGTTGGCGGAAGGATAGGACAAACGGCACACTGTATGCAGAGTTTAAACAAGCACGTAGCACTGCTCGGAACGCGTATCGGCGCAAGCGAAACGAGTACTTCTCCCGTCAGTGCGAAGAAAATGTGGCCAACCCTAGGAAGTCTTGGGCCATTCTAAATGCAGTCACTGGGCGTTCACGTCGCCGCCAAGATCCTAGTTGTAGCATCAGCGAGGTGGCCGACACGTTCCACTCCATTGTCACCGATCCCAACCGTCCTGAACAACTCTGTACCCCGCACGGTCCCGCTGGACCCGTCTCCTTGACCGAACTTGATCCTGTGACTCCTGCTGACGTCCGACGTCTCCTTGAGAAGTTGGATGCGCGGAAAGCCACAGGTAGTGACGGCATACCGGGCTCTCTGCTACAGCAGTGTTCTGACTTGCTTTCATATTCTCTTGCTGTGCTGTTCTGCACCTCGCTGAGGACTGGAACCATTCCATCCGCATTTAAATTGGCGTCTGTCGTGCCACTGTACAAGGCCGGTGACCCATCAGTCCCCACCAACTATAGACCTGTATCCCTTCTCCCAATAGTGTCCAAGTTGCTGGAGAGGGTAGTGCAACACCAGTTAGTTCGTCATTTGGACTTGACCCAGGCATTACCCGAAACACATTTTGCCTTCCGCAAGAAATGTTCCACGGAAGACGCCCTCTGTGTGCTGACTGATAATCTGCAGAAGGCGAGAGACAGTGGCAAGACCACAGGGCTGTGCCTATTAGACATGTCGAAGGCTTTTGATAAAGTGCACCACGACAAGTTAATTCAAGACCTCCTTGCGGTTGGAATTTCTGGAAAAGCCCTTAGTTGGTTCGTCGACTACTTGTCCGGCCGCAAGCAGCAGATCCTCATCTCGCCTTCAACCAGCCCTGCTCTGGCTTGCACCTGCGGAGTGCCCCAAGGCTCTGTTCTCGGCCCTGTCCTCTTCAGTATATACACACGCGATGTCCCTTTGGTTTCCTCGCCTGTGCCAAGTGTACAATTTGCAGATGACATAGCCCTGTACGACTCCCAGGCCTCAGCGGCGGAAGCGTCCAGAACCCTCACCACAGCGGCAACTGCTCTGGCCGGTTGGCTGAAGTCCCGAGGCCTTATCTTGAACGCCACCAAGAGCCAGGTTCTGACTATCTCTCCCCAGCAGCATGTACAGGAAGTAACAGTCAAAAGCGGCGACTGTCTCCTCCCCTCGGCGTCTTCTGCGCGCTACCTCGGCGTTCACCTTGACAATCGCCTAGATTGGGACACCCATGTAAACTATGTGGTCACCAAGGTTGCCAAGAAAATTGGCGCCTTGTGGCGGGCACGCCGAAGCCTATCAAGACGCTCTCGTCAGGTGTATGTGAAGGCGGTCATAATGCCCGACCTGCTTTATGGCTCCTGCTGTTTTTCAGCCGCAATGCGAGAGGGTCAACTGAAACGACTGCAAACCACGCAAAACAGAGCCATCCGCTGTATCGATGGCAACCCGCCCCGGACAGCCATGCAGCCGCTGCTCACTGCTCACTCCCTGTACCGTGTCAGCGAGCTCTACAGGCAGAAAATATTGATCACCATCTGGCGGTGCATCAACGCCCGCACCAGCCCTGTGCTCGCCCAGCTTCTGACCCCGGCACAAGGCACCCCTACCCGCCATCAGCAGTCAAATGGCCTACTAAGCCAGGCAAACCGTAGCCGCCGCGGTCAGCGGAGATTTTCTGTTGCTGGTGCTCTGCTGTGGAACGCTCTCCCTGGTGAGGTCCGCACAATTACCCGGCTACCTGAGTTTAAGCATGCATGTGTACCATACGCCTGTAGGGAGTAGTTCGAGTTGCTGCTGATTGCTCTGCTCTCCCTCCCCGTGCAGTTCAGTAACCCGCACGTAGTATCACAGATACATCGTATTCTCTCTCTCCCCCCGTTTACCCGCAGTTATTAGTATCCTATTCTCTTACTATGTGCTTCCATAGCTTTACTATGTTCTTCCATAGCCACTTCTAGGCTAAGCCTTCGCCGTCATTTTATTGGGTCGTCATCCCGTTTGAATGTGCGAAGTGAAATAAAAACCAACCAACCAACCAACCAACCAACCAGGTGATTTGGGAACCCAGGAGCACGTGACCACTTGTTCAACCATGTTCGATTGGGAATAAAGGAGGAACGCTGCATCGCAGCCTTTTCGGACCAAAACCAGTCGACTCAGCGTCCAAAAGACTACAACATATGGGCCAATCGCGGTCATCTGTGCTTTTATAAGAACGAAACGGCGCTTTTAGTGACATTTTGCATACAAATCCCCATCTAGTAGGGCGCAGTCACCCAGTTTCGGTGGAAGTGCGCGAGTTCGATTGGGATTCAAGTAGGAAGGGAGCGTCTCAGCTTTCTCGGACCAAGACCATTCGACTCAGCACCCCGAAGACTACACCTGGTGAAATTTTAATTTTTGCCTTAACTTCCCCTTTAAGAGCTCATCAGCACAGCTCAGAGGACCGAAGCGCATCTCTTCGCAATGAAATACGTTTCCGTGAAGCAAAGCATTTTTATAAAGAGCTGCAAACCCCACCAAGAGTGCTCGAAATGCTCCAAGACGGCAAGAGCAGTGAGCGTTGCACAAGGCGAGCGGCAAGGGTTCGCGCTAAGGTAAGAGTGCTCAACCTAACGACATTGCTGACGCTAGGGAGCATAATACTCAAGTCTGTGGACAGCAACTGTTTCGCTCTGTTAAGAGCTCATCAGCACAGCTCAGAGGACCGAAGCGCAGCTCTTCGCAATGAAATACGTTTCCGTGAAGCAAAGCATTTTTATAAAGAGCTAGCTGCAAACCCCGCCAAGAGTGTTCGAAATGCTCCAAGACGGCAAGAGCATTGAGCGTTGCACAAGGCGAGCGGCAAGGGTTCGCGCTAAGGTAAGAGTGCTCAACCTAACGACATTGCTGACGCTAGTAGGGAGCATAATACTCAAGTCTGTGGACAGCAACTGTTAATAATTATTATGATGATGAAAGAACAAGTCCATGTCCAAGCGCTTACCAGTAATGTTGCGAGCAGTAGCAAGCCCATCCGACACAGTTTGCCCTTCTCCTACGCGAATCTGTCCCGCTGCAAGGAGCAAGAAGGCGGCACATGTAAAGAGAATGCCGATCCTAGCCATGTTCGATTGAGATCTGGAGACGTTGGGAGTGCTGTCTGCTACGAAATTGAACGCCGCTCTCCTCTGGCCAAAACTACCCAAAGCCGCACTTCCCTGCCACTTTTATAGCAGGGGTATTCGCTCCTTTGCAGCCGACCAGCGATCCCGATCCCGCTAATCTGCTTGCGAGACATTGCTGACTAGATGACCGGACCTATTTCTTCCCGCTTCAGACACGTGTAGCGCACGTAACGTAGATCTACAAGACGTACTCGTCGTGCACAGGCCTAGGTCTAGGAGAATGGAGGCTAGCACTTCTTTCCCTCCGAAGGACCATCATTGCGCAATTGCGTGTCTTTGGCACAGCTTCTCGTCCAGCCTCCAAGTTCTGGGCTGGGGGTTTTGAGGCCGCTCAGGCGTCCTGTCACCATGGTCACGAACCCGGCACGCACTGCACTGATTGTCATCTATTCATGCATGCCAGTCATGGTATGTGGCAACATGCTAGCACTGTCGGAGGCTCTGAGCATGCCGCTATACCATGAATGCTGTGAAAAGGTTCAACAAAATGACTCATAACCGCAATCAATTGATTGCCGTTATCAAATTATTGTCTCCTCGCCGTGTGTTTAAAATTACTCATTCCAAGTCTTTTCATTTTCCTAAGGCCGGGGTCGTCATTTAATATCGATGTTTTTTTAGAGAAGAAATTCGTTCGTTTGGGGGGAGGGGGTTTGGGCCCTGTTCGTCTCGTCTTTGCAGAAACAGATATCGAACTCTATCTATGGACGGGCGCTGTTCGAAGATGTAGTTTATGACCTACACAAAGTGAAAGTCAACCTCGTGAGCATAGCCATGGCAAGGTTGTGCGACCGTGACAACATAAACCTAGGTGTATGGTGAAATAGAGTGGCAGCTGGTCACGTTTCATGAGGAAATTGAACTTCATTAAAAAATATCGATCCCTTGCATAAACATGTGTGTGTTCGTTTTGAGGGGGGAGAAATGAACAAATATCGTCTTGAAAAAAAGTAATTAGTTGCACAGTGTCTCATTTCCGCTCCTTTATTGGCTGTTTTTGGCATGATCATCGTGATCATTATCCACAAGAACTCGCTCATTTTGAGTTGCGAGATAAGCAACTTTTGGAGCTTTTTCTGAAAATATGGATGCGATTTCAGCAACTTTCACTTGTTTTGGCATGGTTGCCAAAAGCATAAGTTGCAAAATATTTTGGCATCCTTGGGAAAGGGCTACTACTACATGCTGGAGCTTCAAAGTTCTGAGGGAAAAAGAAGAAGACACGAGTTTCAGATAAAGTCAAACGCAGCCAGTGCAAGCATATGTACAACTGTACAAGACAGGAAAAATGATGATGATAATGATAATGCTGCCGGAAAGCCTCTATTTAGAGCAGGAAGAAAGTGAAAGAACTGAGTTATTTTGCAATCTCTAAAAAATGGTGTAGTGTAGAGCACATGCATAACAAATAGAATAAAATATAAATGAATAAAATATGAAGTTGGAAGCATCAGCTTATATTAATAATATGGCTAGTATAATTTTTTTTCAAATTTGGACTTCACGGAGAATTTCAAAGTTTTAGGAAATAAGATACTGGTTCGAGTCCCGGTGGTGTGACTGATGATTTTTTCTTTCTTTCATATCTGGCTTGCAATTGTTGGGTTTCGGAGAGAAAAGAGCAGTGCGTGGAATGTGGCCTCTAATTTCCTAAAAGTATAATTTTTGATATATTATTTAAAAAATCACACTGTTGTGAATTAGTGTGTTAAAAAAACTCATATTATTTCTTTACTTTTCAGGGCGCAATCCGAAATAATGCAGCAGAGGCATGCTTGAAAACACTTTTTTTCAATATTAGGATCCGGCAGTAGCAATGTACATGGTATACGTATAGCTGAGGATAGTATCGATTTATACGAGATACATTTTCATATACACGTATGCTTCAAAGTTATGGCTGGTTGCGTTGTTGGGCTGGCAAGGTGTATAACACCTTAGGGGTAGATTATCGATCGGTTATATGGTGTGCATGGTTTGTATTCTTCCGTAGTATCATCTGTTGTCAAGATATTGGTGAGGATTGGTATAGAGACGGGTTTCGGCCGGTTTTATGGCACCGCTGTCTTCAAACACCCACCATGAATACCACACTTAGGAAGCACGCAACCAGGACACAGAGGATGCTTGCATTCTGCGTGGCACCAGCTGAGTCATCGTAGGCCAGATGACCCACATTCAGCCCTGTGCAGAGTAAACATGCCCGATATAACACAGTAAACCAGTCATTATCACTGATGTTACAGACCATCTGGCGTACATACATGTTCATGTACATATACATGTATGTGCACACTCATGTTCACAGGCATGTGCACACATGTGTGCGTGCGTATGTATGCGTGCGTGTGTGTATGTGTGTGTGTGTGTGTGTGTGTGTGTGTATGTGTGTGTGTGTGTGTGTGCAGAAACACCCACTTACTGAGGTGTGGTGAGCCCATAAGTGGGATCATTTTCAAGTCCACCCAGAGTTTTGGGGATTTCAGGGGGTGTCGGCCGTTGGGCGGTTCAATAGCCAGTTGAGTCATCTTTCCAAGATTCCTTTTGAGTCTCTCTCCCCTCTCCCGGGGAGACCCACGTGACCAGTTTTGGCAGTGAGCAACAAGTACAAGTGTGTGTGTGTGTGTGTGTGTGTGTGTGTGTGTGTGTATGTGTGTGTGTTAGATCTTCGCCAGCCTAATCCTTCGCAAAAGGCGATAATAGAGATACTGAAGTAGAAGTTATAGTAACGTGTGCTGTGATGCAAGTGTAGCAGTACTCCACCTTACTTTCTGGTATTTCTCTTGTCAATTTTGTGCACCTACACACATGCACTCTTCCCAATACTCCACAACACAACACAACACAGCGTGATCACCAACTTTACAAGCACTAAGGAGAATGTTGACTTTGTATCTGTTAGACGTTCCGACTGCATAGGACAAACAATCAAAATCGACTCACCGCCTCCTGGTGGGGTGTCGATGCCCTCGCCTTGCTCCGAGTCCGTGGGCGTGACGTCTGGCGTCTGGAAAGATTTTTGCACAGATCAAGAAAACTAATTGCAACAATACATCATCAGTTATGGATACTATTGCCGTTCAGTGTGGCAGCGTCCACCTGATTCGTATTGTATTTTAATATTTTACTTGGGCATTCCCAACAGACCCTAAGGTCTTCTTTCAGGGTGCCCAATTTAAGGACAAGTGCAGCAGCTGGCGAGCATGGTTATCACTAGGCATACTCACAATCAATTGTTCACAACACATCTACCAGCAACTGACTCATGCATAGTTCCAATAACATGAAAGCTTTCGTCAAAGACATACAGTTATCCTGCGTGTTCTAGTGTTATCCCCTGTGGCTCGCACGATTTCTTTCTCGCTTGAAATCGGAGGTAACATTGTGCTTTTGTTAAAAGGTCTTGCAAGACGAAAGTGAGGTGCAATGAAGTTCACTCACCGGGGCAGGCGTAACTTGAACCAGCTTCTTGCGAAAGTTTAGACACCAGCATGCGATTCGACGCGGTTCTCCGTTGTCCACGACAACCACACATAAGGTGTGATTGCTGAGAGTGTCGTTGACTTGGAGCAGTTCCAGTTTGAGAGGTCCATCTTCACCGCCTCGCAAAACCTTTCTTGGGCTGCACGTACATGCACATCAAAGGGTAATTGCACGTTGAAGCGGTATATAAAGCTAGGAGAGTGACAAGTACAGAGAAATTAGCAACAAACTCGGCCAATATGCTAAAATTAGTACCTGGCTTCATCACTCCACAAGTACAAGTGGAGCGGATCAGTCGAGAGCGCATTGCGGAGTGGTGAAATGACAAATTTGAGGCACGTACCACTTTCCCCCAATGCATAATCCGCAACCAGTTGTTTTGTCACCAAATACAGACATCTACACTGTATTTGGCGTATGAGCCGCATCCCACATTTGACATTGGCCAGATGTATGTGTGTGTATATAATGCGTGTATGTGTATGTGTATGTGTGTGTGTGTGTGTGTGTGTGTGTGTGTGTGTGTGTGTGTGTGTTGTGTGTGTGCAACAAATGGATCAATGAAATGGCTAGGAAATCTCGCTAGGTCGTTGATGCAACACAGCGCCTCAACCCAACTCTCCATGTCTGTCGGCCCCTCACACGAGGGGACATGTAACCGGAAACGGCAATGTTCAGGACAGGACAGGTGTGTGTGTGTGTGTGTGTGTGCGTGTGTGTGTGTGTGTGTGTGGTTTTTTGGTGTGGTGTGGTGTGGTGTAAACCAGGCTGAATAGTGGTGGTCAATCCTTCAGCCTTGCAAGCTGTTGAAAGGCGCAATCCAAGCACAAGCTGCTTTGGCTTCTGCTGTAGCATCGCTATCATCGCCTCCGGCGATGGGCGTCCAATGGTCCAATGGTGTGTGTGTGTGTGTGTGTGTGTGTGTGTGTGTGTGTGTGTGTGTGTGTGTGTGTGTGTGTGTGTGCATTGGTCTTGGTAGTGCTGACAGTTAGTCCAAAATCAGCAGCAGTCGCCTGGAATACAGAGAGTGCAAGCTGAGCACCGTCACGTGTAGTCGCTAACAAGGCTGAATCGTCGGCGAACTGACATTCCCCAAACTTGGTCGATATCTTTCGCGTCCTCGGCTTGCCGAACAAATTTCCGTCAATGCAATAGCGAACCTCCATGCCGACACCAGGAACTGCCGACACTCTCCGGGACCAAACAGTGAAAACGGCCCAGCACTAAAAGCGCCGTTTCGTTCTTATAAAAGCACAGATAACGGCGATTGGTCCATATGTTGTAGTCTTTTGGACGCTGAGTCGACTGGTTTTGGTCGGAAAAGGCTGCGATGCAGCATTCGGCCCATATATCCCGAACGATTTTCGTCAGACACCGCACATTTGCCGCAATCTGACCAGGTACTAAAAAAATAGGGTACGGTCTGGACCCTTGCTTACACGCACACAGTCATAATGTTTTATAGCAGAAATCATACACTGCTCAGCTACCGGATTGTTTTACTATAATATTTTTTAAATATCAGTCAGTCTAGGTCACTTACCGAAGAAGCTCGTTGCTTGGAAGGATGGCCCCGTTACACGTCCCAGGTGAAATGAATATGCCCACGGATGTAGCACTGGGTGGGATGTTGTTCACAAAGAGCTCCAGAGCATAATGGCGACCTGAGCGGGCATGAAGAGTTTTTCGCTGGGAACATGGCGATGGAGAGTACTGAGCTGGATGGATCTTCCCTTTCCAAACCAGATCGACTGAAGTATCTATGCAGACGCGACACAAAGACAAACCATGAAGCACCATATCGACTATGTGCAACTCGCTGATCACGCCAATTACGGTGCATGTACATTATGTTTTACCCTGACCACACTCGAAGAATAAACATCTGAACTCAACTTACATGTACACACCTGGATGGATTTGTGTGCTGGTTTGCGACGCTTGTGGCTCAATGTAGCTGAACCATCGGACCTTATTTGTCAGCTTGGATCACGTGATCCATCCAGCTGCCGCGTGCGGCAAACAGCACAAATAGCGCTAACTCTGGCCTGCGAGCGTTTGCTGGGACTAGCGCGCTAGCGCTCGTGAGTCGTGACATACACAAACGCGCTAGTCAGAATGCTTTGACTTTGATGGCTTTCAGCTTCTATTTTTTGAAAAGTAGCGCGCTCAGACCAGCTCGCTCACTCTTTTCCTCTTCCATTTTTAGGGCAATTGTTTTGTTTGATAGACGAAGCTTAGGGTCTCTTTGGGTTTGCAACCCTTACCCTCCTGGAAAAAATCATAGTTGCTAGACTGCGACACTTCAGACCAGGTACTATTAGAGCCGCTAATGGACGACGAGCTATTTTCCGCTATCCGGAGCTCAAGCATTTGAGCCGCTAAATGGACGAGACTCCTGGGGTAAAGGATGCAGAGAATAATGAGGAGAAAACACTCGTATGGAGCAGGGAGTAGGTATTGTACTACTTCCTGGTATGGAGCACTGAGAAGCGGTAAGTCTTAGGGCAATTCTTAGCCAGTAATTACTTTCTCGCCATAATAAAATAATATGTTCTCGTTTTTCGTGTCTTCTGTAATGCCAGTACACTAGCAGTACGACTACACTGTAGGCGAGAGTCCATAAGCCAGAGTGTGCAGCTCTCCATCTATGCAGCATAAACAAATTCATGACAAATTTCCTTTGCCTAAGGGCTGGGTTCCACTGCCGCTCCGCCGCACATCGTCCACGGCATGAAACGTCATCATTACGAGCTGGTCCAGCGAGGCCGCGGCTCATCACCAGCTTTCGCTTCGCTGCTTGATACAAAAAATGCAAGCCGCGGTCACGGCTTGCATTGTTTCCCGCACTTAATTGTTATATTCGGGGGAATTTTAATTCGTTGCATGGGCCAGAACACGAGGATTTTTTTGGATTTCACGCGCGCGCAGGCAGGCTAAATGTCATCAAAAAACGTCGAGCACGATCGCGGTACCGTGAATGGCGAGTGTCACTGGAACCGCGCCGCTCTGCTGCATGCAGCCAAGTACCGTGGAGCAGCGGAGCTGCGGAGCCGCAGTGGAACCCGGCCCTAACGAAACTTATAGCAATTTGAAAATGTTTGACAATTTTTCATAAAAAACTTGACAACATTGTTCTTCTGTAGAGTGCCGCTGGCAACTCCATCGATGAACTCCATCAATGAGCGCAGGGATAAAGTTTAGAAACCCTTCGAGCGAGAACGTGTTTTCAAAAAGGAAGCACAAATATGCCGCGTAACTTCCCCTCTAGTATGGCCCCATCAAAGCCACTCGCTGACTACTTACCAGTAAAATGGGGTTGGACGGTTGTCAGATTAGCTGATATGTTTTCTGCCAACACAACCACAAGCAGTTGTCAACTCTCAAGACTAAAAGAGCTTGCGAAGAAAGTGAGAAACCTTGGCTATGAAAGCACATGAAGCGTCAGAATAATCGAGCAAACTTGGACCTAGATTACCAGCGTCTGCTCCAGAGCCGGGTCAGTGACCCTGTTTGTGAGTACTTGGACCTTTTGGAAAAAGAACACTGGGTTACCTGCGACCCGGTCGGAAGTCCTGTCGAGTACTATACTTTTTTTATACTTCGAGGGTATACCGCCACTGACAGGCTGCATACGCGTGCAGATGCGTGCGGCCAGAGTGCCCAGTGCGAGTACGTTCATACATGTACCGCCAGAGCGCCCCACCATCTCGTCCTTTCGTGGCCGCCTTGTGGAGGTGGATTTCTGTCTGTAGGTCATACGACACGGACCTTATACAAACATTGCAGATTGTGCAGTCAATCCGTACCCAGTTTACCTTCGAGCTCCACATAAAAGCATACCAAGTGTGACCTTAGTACACGAAGGTTCTCACATTGTACAAACTTAGTAGCATTCTGCCATACGATTTTCTACCCTTGGCTGTAAAATCAAGGTGGGGCGCTCTTGCGAGACGGGGCGCTCTGGCGGTACTTTACGGTACATGTACAATCATGTACATCAGGAAGTCGAAAGTAAGTTTGCGACTCCCTGACACACAGTAGCCGCACTTGAACGCATCTGGCTCTGGCCCAGTGTTGCAGGAGTTGTGCCAGGTAGACGTGTACCCGGTTTGTGTTAAATCTTAGAGCAGGTACTGCATACCCTATCATATCTGTGTATATGGGTATACAGAGTCAGTGTTGTTGCGTCCCACTCAGCACCCTTCTGGTTCATTTCGGCACCAGCACTCTTTGCGTATGCAGAGTTGAGTAGAGTGCAAGTTCGGACCACAAGTACACTGTAGCAGCTAGTAGCAAACCTAACCTGTGTCGTGATGCACGGCACGTGTGTGCATCTACTTCATCCCTGAGTAACACACCTGGTATATTGTGCACAATAGGGCACAGTAACTAATCAGCATGCATCGCAGTTTTCTGCAACATATTCCTGAAGTCACTTTACACCTCAGAAGAATTGCGTCGCTGACTGGAATTCGATACCGGTTTAGTTTCTCTCTGGGTCATTATGAATCATAGAAAACCCGTCATACAATAGGTTCAAGCTAAAGTACCGTATCACCATGGTAATTCCTGGAAATTCGGTGTGTTTTCTGCCTTTTGTTAAACAAGCAGCAATGTGCAACAGAAATCACCATGGTGATACAGTAGATTACCGTGTGAAGCGGTGTGAGATGCAGCAAAGGTGAGCCTGTTACTGTGAGTCTATGCCCGAAACAATAAACTTTGCCGTGGGATGATTATCTTTGGGCTGCACACTCTGCACACTTATTGCTAGGTATATCATTGGTCTTGTTCGGATCGTCCATTACGTTTGCAGCTGTTCAAACTTGTTTTGTTGTTTATTATTTTATTGATTTATTTATTCTACTTGCCTTTCCTATCTTCTTGTGTTTTAGCATTAGGCGATTTGATCGCAGGACAAGAGAGGAGCTGATGGCCGATCTCTCCAGTGTCCCTCTTGGTTCGGAGCAGCGCCGAGTGCTGACGTTGGGACTTGGGTAAGGATGAGTGTTCCTCATGTTTACAAGTTATCCGTTTTGTCCAACACTAACGGTTATATGCAGAATGCTGCTGAGTCAAAATGTGCAACAATTAGCACAAAAACTGACTGATGAGATCCTGACATTCAACGACCTGATGCTTAGCTGCATCACGTTTATATCCGTTAGTGTTGGACAAAACGGATAACTCGTAAACTGATGGTCCTCTTTTTCAATTTTTATCCTTGGCTCTCCATCCGAGTTCCCTCGTGTGTGTAGCTATTATTATTTTTTTGGTGACAGTCAATTTTTTCTTCAGACTTTTCCCGTTTGTGTCTTTCCCTCAAACTAGTCAATATTTTTATTTACTTATTTTTTTGCCCAGGGTCTACATTCTACCTTTATTTTACTTAGACTAGGGTTAGCTGTCCGTTTACCAGTACTCATCCACACATATGTGCACATAGGGTCTACACAGAACTCTATCAGTAGTTATCACTCTTCTATATCGACCTCCACTAATTCTCGTGATCCTTGACTGGTCCTATATTACCCATATCGCCGCAATATCGACCGCTTATATCGACCACTTAGGCATTGTAATCTTTCGACTTTGGAGAGACTTAGAATTTTTCTCTCCACTTCAAAAAGTGAAATTGAAAGAAAGAAGACAAAGGAAGAGAACAAGCAGGATTTGAACTCACAACAGTATGAATCTCAAGCAACCCCTTATACCACCCAGCCACTGTGCTGCAGATGCTGAACTCTGTTGTTCTTACAGGCTTGTACCCAAAATAGGCAACATCCTATGTACACTATAGTACAAATGCTATACTAAAAATTTTAAAATAGCTCCTAAAGGTTCAAATTTTGGGGTTATGGCAAAGGAATCGTGATAAATAAGATATTGACCTCGACTTCGGTCTATATGGGAAATATAGGCCTCGTAAAAGACCTCGGCGGACCTCGGTCTTTTACTCGGCCTATATTTCCCATATAGACCTCGTCTTGGTCAATATCCTATACATATTTTGTGTATAGGGGGTTGTCTATCCACCGAGATAGCACTATATACTCCCATTCTGTGTGTTCTCTGGTATGTATGTCCCTTGGAGACTATACGGTGCCAGTGTGGTGACCGAGGTCAGGCCGTGTCTGCACTGGCATCGTCAACTTTGCCTACTGCTACGTGCTCCCCAGTGCTCCATCTGTGTCCTATAATTTGTTTGGGGAGGGGGGGGGGCAATACCGGTACTTCAGGTTCAGGGGGCGAGGGGGGGGATGGGGTGGGGGGACATCATGCCCCCAATGAACCTCTCCAGGCGTTGTTCTGGAGTAGACTAACCATAGGCGGAGTGTACACATGCAGCACATAGTTTGGGAGCTAGAACGCGATCAGACTCAGGCATATTCAAAGGCAGTCTATTGTGATAGTAGTCCTGGACTGATCTCACTATGATGATATAGGTCGTGCCCAGCATCACAATGCCAAACATTATAGATGACTGTTTTTTTTTTGCCTGAGGGGCTAGATGAGCATGCGGCGAGACTGCCGATGGCAACCAACAGGCTCAAGGCTGTGTTGAGACTTCGTATGAGCGACCCGAGTCAATTGTTTACTCACCATGACTAGGCATCGCATTGAGCATCGTATGCCCACTAATATATGTCACTGTTCTTAGTCGCACCGGGGGCGCATGCCCGTTTTCAGGAGACACACATAAGCCCTGGGTCCTGAAGGTTAGGCCTATTGTTAATCTAAATAGTCCTGGCTACTT